TAATGTATAAAATGTTGTGTTCTAGAAATAGGAAATTTGCAGTCATATTAATTAGAGGATCCATTTCGTAGAAACGCTCAATCTCTACTGTCAAGAATTCTTCCAAGTTGCAATTTCACTTCTATCAGTGTTGACTTTGTAATGTCAGATGAGTTAGTTCACAGTGTCCGCTTCTCTAACATGAAGATAATATAGTTTATCTGTCTTAGACATTTGTAGTAAGAAACAAATGAATTGAGTGGCACATTAGGTATTTAAAATAGTACTTAACAAATAGTATAGCACACTAGATGCGTTATCTATTATGTTGTTACAGGTAATATTTCAAAGACACTTCATACTTGAAAAGTCTGAAGTAGTAGCCCTTTCTATTTTTTTTAACTTCAAATAAGGGTAGTGATAGACACCCTATTGTAGGAAAACTGTTCAAAAATGCCTCGATTTTAACAGGCTAATTGGCAGAGGTTATAGTCATCTTTTCAAATATTATTACCTTACTAGGCCAGGCCCTCTTAAGAGAACATAAAAAAGACACATATCCTGTTTATGTGTCTTGTCTCAGAAGGAGAACTTTGTGTCCTCTCTTACACAAGAAGATACTCATTTCCAAAACAGTAGAATGTGATTCATTGTGTCTTGATTTCATTTTCTTTTGAAGTGGTCAGGACATATCTTTAATTTATATGTAATGTTTTAATAAAGAAATTCAATATCGCACCCACCACGTTTTCATGTTTTTTTTTATTTTCATCCATATGCTGTGAAAGAAGCAATTGTATTGTGCCTTCAACAAAAAGAAAGTCAATCAATAGAGGTTTCTTTTTTTTAGAATATGATTTATGACAGAATTTCTACCAAGTGTTTTTCTTTGCCAAAGTTCCTTTCAATTGCCTTTTTTTCTTCTTAAGAATTATGTAATGTCTCTCATTTTATGCCAGAAAAATAGGCTGGATGTGAATTTGACATCACATGCTTGTGGGAACCTGGAAAAGATTCTGAGATTCTATTTACTTCCACACAAAAGGTCACAGACTTCATTCTCTAAGCCAACATTTGAAACTGGCTGGACAGAGAGGCTTGGCTGTTTGGGAAATCAGTGTGTGCACGTTCAAAATGTGCATACACATCTAACAAACCCTTCCACAAGAGAGGACATTGTGTTCCCTGAATGTGCAATGGACATTTTTAAGACAGAACTTTGTAAATAGCCACTATCACACTTAACCTAATTTAACTGTCACTTAATCTGACTGAACTCGTTAAAAAAGGTGGTTTTGATGAACTCTATCAGTTATTTTAGTGTGTTGGGGTTCTGACTTGAATAAATTATCAAGTGAGCCTCCTGAGACTCTAAAATTCAGTAACTTCACATGGACAGCCATTTAGATTTCTCAAGTTATGTCTGTCATCTACATAGAAATGCTATTTGAGGGCCCATGAGGAAGCAATTTTATTTGACTGAACTCAGATTTGTTTGATGCTTGGTCTCTTCTTCTCAGGAATAGGAACTCCAAACCTTGGAAGTCCAGAAACTACTTTGGTAATATACTTTACCAATTAAAAAAAAAAATCAAGAGTGATGAGTTATCTGAAATGTCAACATAAACATACTTTTGGAAATAAAGACAAAAGAGAAGAAAGGTTGACATGCACCATCCGGGTCATCCCACTGAGTGAAGTCCATCAGAAGTGTACTTGGCCATCATGGAATCATCAATATATCATAGATTCTGAAGGGCTATTTTTTATTATTTCTAACATACTTTAATGTATTATATTTATTGAGTCCACAAAGGCTTACCACCTTGTGTAGGGTTTGGCACGCCCTCTTCAGATGAATGTCCCACTCCATGCCCCATCACAAAGCTCCCACAATCCTCCATCACCATCCACTGGACCCTGCCTACTTTGGTTTCCCTCTCCCCAGCTCTCCCCTCTGGCAGCCTCAATTCTGCAGTCAGATTTCTAGGGTTCACTTTGCTTTTGATTTTCCATTCCTTTTCTTTGTTTCTCTCTGTCTGTGTGAGTGAAATCATCCAGTGTCTTTTTCTACCTGACTCACTTCACTTAGCATGAGCCTTCCAGCTCCATCCAAGATGTCATCGTTTCTACTAGCAGAGTAGTATTCTATTCTGTGTGTGTTTCTTGACCTTGACAAGCTCTGGCAGTGCCCTAGCTCCACACACTCTAATTATGAGACTTTCAGTTCTTCCAGATCCAGTCGTCCCTCTGCTGAATAGCCCTGGCTGTTCACTGACTGTATCTCCAATGATGAGGCAGAGGTCCAAGATTCCCAGCCCAGGATCTCTTCCTCACCTTGCCTTTCCACATCCAGAAGCACCCATTGTCCAGATAGTTCACTCTCTTGCCTTCTGTTGTTCATTTAATTTTTAGGGAGGATGCCTTTTGAAATTTGGCATTAATTACATAGAATCCATTTTTTTTAAATATTTATTTACTTATGCTATAGAACTGGGGTACAGGCCAGAGGTGTGGTGGGTGAGAGGATTTGCCAGCGATAGAGTGGAGAGCACAACAGGCCGATGTACTGAAATCCACTGCTGAGGGGAACAGTGGGTTGGTCAGTAGAGGTCTGCCATGCCATGTGGGTCAGCTCTCTGGCAGGAGATTGCAGTGGCTTCAGAGAGCTTCATAATGTGGTGCTTTAACCTACTGTGCCTGCAAGGAGAGCCCTAGAATCCATTTTTTAAAAAGATTTTATTTATGTATGCAGAACTGGGGTACAGGTCAGAGGTGCAGGGACAGTGAGAGGATTCACCAGAGACAGAGTGGGGAGCAGAACAGGCAGACTGACGAAGTACACCGCTAAGGGGAGCAGTGGACAGGTCAGGAGAGGTCTGCTGCACCATGTGGGTCGCCTCCAGGGCCGGGGATTAAACTCACACTGAAGTGGCTGTGGTTAGCTTGTAGTGCTGCATCCTAACCCACTGTGCCACCAGGGAGGGCCAGAATCTATTCTTAATTTTGCAAACGTGGCTTCTGGAAGTGGAGACTTCTTTTTCAGAACAATGCTTACATATGTAAGTTGGATATTTAAACATATAGACTTTTCTCTTCCTCTCCCATTAGATATAAGGGTACAGCTATTCAAGACTCTAGCAAATGTTACTTAGCTGTTAACCTTTGTCAAAACAACATATTTTCCAATTGTATCCTCAACAGTAGAATATTAGTATGATATCAATTTCTTCTAAGGATAACTACTTTGAACATTTTTCAGATTGACATTAACACTTTCCTGTCCAATGGACCTCAAGAATTTTCCAATGGATGTACAAACATGTATAATGCAGCTGGAAAGCTGTAAGTACAACTTTTCTCAATACTTTAAAAAGCATGTAGTAGATATCAACATTAATGAATTATATAGATTATATAAATGTTTTAATCATTTTGGTAAGATATAAATTAATAAGACTTTCGTTTCTCCAGACATTGAAAGTGAATAATGTTTATCAACATATGACTGCTCTATTGTGACAGAGAAATACATTGAGAACCTAAATATAATAGTTTGTTTATAATAATCATCATAATCTTGAGAAACAGTTATTTTCTCTATACAAATCCTCAAAGATAAAAGCATGATAATTAGGAAAGAATAAGTTTTAGTTGAATACATTCCACAGACCAAGTATTCTGCATGTTTCTTTCTTACAACAAAGACATTGTTCGAGACCCAGGTGCAAGTGGTGACTTGGAGTGAAAGTCTCCTCCTTCCTGGTGTGGTAGTAGCAAACTCTCTCCAAGGCTGTGCTAACCTGAGCCATTTTGCGGGCCCTCAGCTGATATTTATTTAGCATTTACTCTGCTACATATGGTATAGATCTTACCAGAGAAAGGAAATTCCTCACATCTTATCAGAGATTTACCCAAACTTGCAGGCATTCCTTTCACTTTCTCCCTGCAAAGTGGGCCCACGTGCACCACTAATTGTTTCACACATAAAACTTCAGGTCCCTCTGGTGCTCTGAAATATCTATATGGTCACCACCAAATTAATCGGTCTGTAGTGTTTAAGACCGTGCACAAAGTAAGCGTGATGCCATGTTTTTCTTGTGGTGATGAAATATAGATGAAAGGAAAAGGTCTGGGGCTTTGATCATAGTTTTATTCTTGTAAGTTTTATGTTTCATTTTATTTTTATATGTCTTTAAATATTCAATTAAACTCGTGCATTGATAAAGGGAATTGCCAAGAGTATCAATTAAACATTAAAGAATGTTGTAGTTAAAGGGATAAAGTAAGTTATGTTTTCAGTAAGTAGATTTTACTGCTAACAGTATAACTTGATAGTGTTTTTAAAGTATATTTTATAATGATTCTCTAAGCATATAGGAAATTAATGAAACAAGCAGTTAATCTTCTTTTGAAGGCAACTAAATTCATTATGAAATAATAGAAAATATATATTTTTATGAAAGAACATTCATTATATTAGTAATGTATTCACATTAAGAATAAGTATGTGTAATACACTGTTTGCTGAAAAATGCCTAATATATAAACTCTTAATAAGTTTCTATAATGTTGAGAGGAACATCAAATGAACCATCTTCAAACTACCACAAAATAGTAAAATGAAGGTTGTTTGCACTAAAATAAATAAACAAAACATAAAAATGGTGCAGACTCATTTGAACATATTTTACTATACCCTGAATATTTTGTATATATATATTTTTGCCTGATGCTTTGTGCTTTATGTTTATATTTTTGTAACTTAATTTATATAGAATATGGAAAGCTTCATTTTCTTTTTCTAATGTCAAAAAGATTATCACATGCCAGAAGAGAATGTCAGTGTGCTACGTAATTGATTTCTAGCAATCTTGGCTTCATTATAGTTAACGTATTAGGAGAGCTGCTCTTTGAAACTATATTTTGTTTATTTACTTTACAATTTTTTTGAAGTACTACTGCATGATAAGATTATTTTCATATGCACATATTTGAAAGTCAACATGTGTGTATACTACATAAAGTTCACCATTAAATGTCCAGGATAAGAAAAGCTAATGTTTTGAGATAACTGTCTTCTTGAGGAAAATCTCAAGGACACAGACCAAGCCTCAGAGACAAGCTTTGCAGTGTGGTGAATTGTCACTAGATGGCGAACTCACATCATCGGGGAAGATGGTCTTGCCTCTATGGTTTCTCTTTTAGGTACGAAAAAATGGAAATACCTTTCTCTGACTTAAAAAAATAAAACTTGTTAAGTAAATACGTTTAGTTTATAAGTATTTTTCAAATTCTAAGTGCACACAGAAGAGTGTACTAGAATCTATGGGAAAAAAAATTGAATAATATGCTTTTCATTAAGGTTTTGTATTTAGCAATGTGGATGGAAAGAGCAACAAGCAGGGGAGATCTTTCAGCCAGACCAGGAAGTCTCTTAGAAGACAGACTGAGTCTGCCTCTTAATCGAAAAATTTGATACATGAGAAAATGTGAAAAAAAAAATCGTGTGAAATATTGTAAGACATTTGTTAACTCCAATGGCAAAGCTGGGCGTTACACAATAGCTGATGTAGAGCTGTTCGGATTTAGGAGAAGAAAATGACTTGGGCTAGAAGCCTACCTGGTGGCACAAGAATTAAGTCCCAACACTATGAAGCTATGGTCAGCCACTGAGGCATGAGGTGGATCCCGGGCCAAGGAAATAACCCACAGGGCGCAGCACACCTCTCCTGTCTCCCTCTGCTCCCCTCAGTAGTGGATTTCAGTGGATCCACCTGTTCTGTTCCCCTCTCTGTCTCTGGTGTCACTCACCCTGTCCCCAACACACACACTTCTGTCCTATATTCCAGTTCCCCTATGTAAAAATAAATAAAATTTTTAATTTAAAAAAAATTAGGCCAAATGAACCAAGGTTGTTGAAAGTTGCTATCATAGGCCAGTTAAAAGGAATAAAAGTAGGGCCAAGATACCACAAGCATGCATAGATAGATAGACAGACAGACAGACAGACAGACAGACAGACAGACAGACAGACAGACAGACAGACAGACAGACAGACAGACAGACAGACAGACAGACAGACAGATAGATAGATAGATGAATGAAATGCCTATGTTTAAAAGTTGCTGGAAGGAATTCTCCTTCACCCTATCTAGTACTGGGAAATGTGCTTTTGTTAATAGATACTCGAAAAAGGAGCCACCTTTATTGGTGATAAACACAAACCTGATAGCAAAACTGCATTGTAAATGACTGGTTTAAAAAACGAGTTAGAAAAGGGGCCCATGAGTGCAACCTTTATTCCAGAATGCTGGTTATTTAAGGAAGATGATTGCGACCGCGGTGTTTGGGGTAGCTGCTCTCTGCACTTACTTTTCTAGAACCAGGAAAACTTACTGGGGCTATTTTGCAAACACCAGTGGGAACATGTAACAGAGCTTCTGTTGTTACTGCCTTTCCCTGGACATTTCCAAATCCAGCAAACACTCAACAAAGGAAAACAGAACCTCTGGCCTCCTTCCTCCTGGTTTGCTAAGTCCTTTATCAAAAACAAGTTGATTGCCTCAGGAGTCCTCTTCATAATTCACAGCCATTAAATATGGCCCGCCTTCTTATTAGAAATTAATTGAGGGCCCTCCCTGGTGGCGCACCGGGTTAAAGCACAGCACTGAGAAACTAAAGCCACTTCAGCATGAGTTCGATTCCCGCCTGCCCCAGAGGTGACCACATGGCGCGGCAGACCTCTCCTGACCCGCCCGCTGCTCCCCTCAGCAGTGTACTTTGTCGATCTGCCTGTTCTGCTCCCCACTCTGTCTCTGGTGAAGCCTCTCACCACCCCTATACCTCTGGCCTGTCCCCCAGCTCTGAATGCATAAATAAACAAATCTTTAAAAAAAAAAAGAAATTAATTGAGCTCACAATAGAGATGCTGTTTCTTAAACACGAGGTGCTAAGTAGAAATTGTCAGTCACAGTTGCTGCGGAAGCAGGTCATACAGTAACATTAATAAGCCTTTTAGTGTAATTCTGTGGGTGCTTCCGCTGCCTGCAGCCTCCTCCTCTACCAGCTCACAGGTTAAATTTAACTCCAGTAAGGTGAGTTTCACCTTTAACTCTTTTCACTTTAATATATAGAATCTTCCTATTAATACACTTGAATATACTCCCAGCTTTCATCTCTCAAGTTTTTCAGTTCTTCATCTTCTTTGCATTCTTCAGCATACTTCTGGCAATCATTTTTTTTAAGAGTTATTTATTTATCCATACAGGGTACTGGGGTACAGGCCAGAGATGCGGAGGGTAAGAGGATTCACCAGAGACAGAGCGGGGTACAGAACAGGCAGATCGACGAAGTACACTGCTGAGGGGAGCAGCGGGCCGGCCAGGAAAGGTCTGCCGCGCCCTGTGGTCACCTCCCGGGGATCGAACTCATGCGGAAGTGGCTTAAGCTTCTCTGTGCTGTGCTTTAACCCGCTGAGCCAACAGGGAGGGCCCAGCGATCAATTCTTAATGAGCTTTTCTAAATCACTTCCCATCCCTATATCCCTTAATAATATGCATCACTATTTGAAATAATCTTTTTATTTCTCTGTTCATGTTTTTGGTTGTGTCCTCTTGCCAAGGCCTGATACACTGTAGCTCCATGAAAATAGGGAAATTGTCTTGTTACAAGACAGAAATCTGGTAAAAATAATAGTGCTTTCTTTCTGTCTTAATAACAGTAAATAATGTATGCATCATTTACATAAGGCAGCTAATGTGGGCCATTGTGATCATATTTAACTCAGGAAACTTAAAAGGAACAAGCTAGCTGCTGACGTAACTTACCTCCTCACAGGGAAGTCTGAGTAGTGACAGAGGCCTACCTCGTGGTATGGGGGTTGAATTTTCAGCACTGTGAAGCTGTGGGTAGCCACTGCAGCATGAGTTCGATCTCCTGCCAGGAAGCTGACTGACCCACATGGCACAGCATACCTCTCCTGTCTCTCCGCTGCTCCCCTTGGCAGTGTATTTCAGTGGATCAACCTGTTCTGCCCCCCACTCTGCTCTGGTGAATCCTCTCATCCCCTGTATCTCTGGCCTATCCCCCAGTTAGTGTATGCATAATTAAATAAAAATAAATCTTTTATAAAAAATGGTTTATTCTGGGCCCTCCCTGGTGGCGCAGCGGGTTAAAGCACTGCACTAAGAAGCTAAAGCCACTTCCGCATGAGTTCGACCCCCACCTGCCCTGGAGGTGACCACATAGCGCGGCAGACCTCTCCTGACCCGCCCACTGCCCCCTCAGCAGTGTACATCATCGATCTGCCTATTCTGCTCCCCGCTCTGTTTCTGGTGAATCCT